CATTAACATTTTAATTTAAAATGGAAATATATGAATTATGTTGTAATAAATATCTGCAAACAAAGTGACAATGTGCACCTCGATGATAAAGCTCAACTCGTCTACTCTCTAGACACAGGAAGTTGAGATTGGGATCATTATGGTGCTGTGCCACAGTGAATATCTTCCCCCCTTCCAGATCAAGTACAAGTTCCCCATGACTCTGGTCTTCCTGAATCAATGAAAATGAATGGAAACTGTTAAGAAACACACTTGATGAAAAGTGAATACATGTACAACAGTTCTGAATGGATCAAGCCAGCACAGCAAACAGGGGCTATAAAACATTCAATTAAACTCATCAGTGGAGTGCACAGCTTGGTACTCTCCTAATGCTTTGGTTGGAAGGCTCCTGGCTCACCTTCCTGTCTGTTCTGGCTTGGAGGCGACCTTTGCTGATAATCACAGTGAGGGAGAGAAGACTGAGGTTGTGGTTGGGTTGGGGAGCTGACAGTTGCGTCCTTCCAGAGGATTCACTGGCCAAGTAGAACTGAGGCTCGTCCTCTTCTGAGTCAGAGTCTATGGCAGAGAGAAAGAGAAGAAAGAAGAACATGTTTCTAATTTCATTCATCAATGAAAAAACAAAACTCATCCAAATACAGGACAAAACCTTCCTGAGTAATATAAATACTTTTTAACAACCTCTCTTGCCAAACTGAGGTGTGTACAACAGAGCTGTACTAAGCTGCTACAAAGTCAGTGCAGTTGTGTTTCCACTGCACTATAAAACACTTGCTCATCTTCTACACCCTGATCATGAGGGGGCAGTGTGAGCCGCTGTGAAGCGACGCATAACTCATGGGTTGTGTCCAAAATCACTCCGTATTCACTCATTCACTACGCCCTAAATTATGTACACTAAGGAGTTCATTCAATAGTGTAGAGTAAATTGATATTTCAGACACTCATTAATCATCGTCATTGTGCATCATCGCTAACAGTTGTAGAATTGTGCAACAATAGTTTTCCACCTGACAAGATGCAGAGCATTACATTGTGGGATTGTTAGCAGAAAGTAGCGTACATGGCATGTACACTACTATTACATTCTATTGTGGAAATTTTGAGTGCACTATATAGTGGATAGATTTACACAGTCATCATTTGGACACCACTACAACATGGCTAACATGCAATATGGTGAGTAGGGAGAGATTCTGGACATAGCCTTAGTGTCAGTGAGATGTTAGTTACTAGCTTGCAACATGGAGCCTTTGGCACAAGGCATTATTTTAACCATTCATCAGAAGACCAAGTGAGAGACTCCATTTTCCAATTTTGCTACAATGAAATTACAGACAAAAAGTGAATGCTGAATGTAAGGACTTTCCCCTCAGTGCAATGTTTCAGCCAATCATGTGTCTAAATGACCAGGGTCTTTTGAAGGTGGAGCTCGGCCCCATTCTGCCCTGGGTGGAAGCAGGGCTGACTGAACTGAGTCAGCATGGTTACCTCCTGCTGTTAGAAACAGATGGAAATGAAGTCCAACTTGTGCTTGCCCGGCTCCGCATGAATAAAGCAGAGTGAACTGTGCTAATGGAAAAAGAAGTTGCTAATATATCTAAGATCCACATGTCAAACTCACCCAGTCTAAAGGCAGACTTGCAGAGTTGGAACTCATCATGGTGATGTCGGCTGTGGTTGCGGCTGTCAGCTGAGGGGGGAGGAGGGGGAGGCGGCTCCCACATCAATAGATCATTATTGATCCTTTTAGATTAAAGGGTGGGTGAAAAAAAAGTGTTACTTCCAATACAGGATTTAAGACCAATGTAAAGACCTAAAGAGAAACAAAGCTATCTAAAGAAGAATCTATCTAACACAAACAATATAAAAATAAATAAATCAAGAAACGATGTGATGTTTAAAGGCAGACTGTAACACTTAACCCTGTTCTGCGCTCATCTAAGACTGAACTTGCAATACAACAAAATCTTGTATGGTGAAAAAGACCTTAGCTCTTTGTAGTTTATTCTATCAAAGACGATTCAAAATGTGGATAATGTTATCTCTGAGGACAGCGATCACACTCATGCTACTCATACCTGTTGTAGATGCTCTGGAAGGCCTGTTTGCTTGGCAGGAGGACGTAGGCCAGCGGCAGGCTGACATCCACAGCACACTGACACTGTGCAACACACTGTGCCTGAAACTGACGCATCTCCTCTGGGTCGGCTGGAATCACCATCTAAACCAAGGAAGCAGGAGAGGTGAGGAGGAAGGAGTTAAGTCTATGATCTTGATAAGGTGGCTGATAAATGGGATGTGATTTTTATTTCTGTGTGTCTGTCAGCACACCTCCTCAGTCTCAAACATGGTGCGGTTGGAGGAGAATGGAGAGCTGGTTTTGTCGTTGAGTTCACAGTGACTTTCAAAGAAGGCGGCCCCCAGGTCCCTGATGAGGCCCAGGTTCATCCCACCCAGACCTGCTGCCAGGTCCCGCGCCTCACCTCCACGCACACGCACTGATATCCTGTTCACAGAAAAATGAGGACAGGTTTATTTTCATAAGTAATATTGGCTGCTGGTTGAGTAAGCTGTCCAACTTGATGACTAAGAATGACTCCGCTAAGACAAGACAAACAACTTAATCTGGGAGGGCGTCAGTACTGTGCTGATTTCTAGTAGATTACATCATGTAGCTCAACACCTAAATATCTTTTGTCAACTGTGTATGTAATTATTCTCACGCTCACTGCTACAAACCTGGGCAGAGTGTCACGGCTCTTCTTCACTCTGATACAGGGGAAAGAGCCGCCCTCCCAGCCCTCGTATGTCCCTGGTGGGACACAACACATCAGTTCTCTGTCTGCATTTCACATTTAAAAGTTCAGCTTCAGCCATATTTATATATGTGAAATATGTATATATCCATAGAGTTGCTTTTATAGCTTTTAATAATGATTAAATCCTGAAAATAAGCTTTAAGATAACTCATACAAAACATCAAATGGTACGATCTGTAACATCGTATATCATCTCTCACAAATATGATCAAAAGACATACTGGTAATAAATAACTCTAAAAGAGATACAGTCAGTCTTATATAGTGGACACACTGGATTATCTATGATGAGCAATGGGTAGTGGTCAGTGTACTCGAAGTCTTTGGCTGCTCTTTTCATGAACCAGTCAGTCAGTAAAGACAACTACACTAACTGAATACAGTTTGTTCGCACCATGCAGATCGGTAAATGAGGCTTCCAGCAGCTGGGTGAGGCAGGGAGCCCACGGTTGGCTCGGAGCAGACTGCTCGCCCTGGAGGTCTGGAGCCTCCCGGTGGTTCAGCTCCAGCTCCGACAGCTCCAGCACCAAGGTCTCTTGCCGCAGTGACCTCTGGGTCGAAGGTCGACGCTTAGGGGGGGGTCGCAAGTCAGGTATGGGGAAACGAAGTCTGAGGACCGCATGAGGTGAGAGGAGGGTGAAGGAGGAGCACAGCTCACTGCTCTGAGTCTGGGAGGAAACACGTGAGAAACCTTTTAATATTTATTTACAAAATTAAATTTAGTTGAATGTGGACTTAGAAAGTGATTCAGTCACAACTGTAGTCAGCGTTGACCACTGCTCTACCAGCTGCTTAAGACCAGCCTGCTTATTTACTCCTACACCTGGCAATTTTGTGTATGTTTGTGTCAACACAACTATGACTCATCAGACATGATGAGGTTGTCTTTTTAAAGTTTCCCATTGTTTGGCTGATGTAAAAGTTCATCTCTCAGCCTCCAAAACATGACCTTAAATTCTTTAATTCCACTTCAGATTTCCATAGAATTCACAAGTGTATATGTGTTCTGTGTATTCAAAAACTGCTCTCAAAATTTACTAACATGAGATAAATAGTTCTTGGAGCTCGAAGTCCACTGTTCAGGTTTGGGTTGTAATTACAAACATATGCTATGACCTACCCTAAATCATCAGGCTTACCTTGTATTGGATTCATGTATTTCCATAGTCATTACAAACTGCCCTTACTCCTGGTATGCTTAATCATGCTATGACAAAACAGAACTGGTAACATGTATGTTCATTCCTGTTTTCACGTCATGATATTATCATGGATTTCTTGGGAGGTTTACATTTTTAAGACCTTTTCAATAGGTTTCTTTATTATGAATTAAAATACAAGTGCAGTTCCACCTGTGCAAGTCCCGGTCCAGCAGTCTGTGTGGGACAGTGGCTGAAGGCTTTGCTGAGGCTCTGCAGGCGACAGAGGGTGTCCAGATCCAGCTCAGCGCTCAGCTCTGCCAGCTCCACCCGCAACACACTGTCCCGCCGCACAACCCGCTGTTTTCCCTACCAACACACACACACACACACACACACAAGACATGTTTTAAAGGATATGCTGATGTATCTGTTTTCGGATAAATTATTAAGTTATTATCCAGTATGATACAGTTTGTCTGATTAGAAATCTTTGTTAGTGTAAATATTACACTGAAGGAAGGGGGTGTAACTTTTATCTCTTTTCATTTGTAGTCATGTTTCATTTATCAAATAATTAATTTGTTCCCGTTGTCTGTAATGACTCCTGTGAATCCTCACAGCTCGACCTAAAACACCAGTCTTTCTCAGGGTCCGGTGTCTACATTTTAACACTAAACTACTTTGTTACTACACAAATCAAACAATCATAAGCTGTACAGCACAGTTTGAAATCTACCTTATACCAAAACAAACAGAAAATGAATGTAAATAAATAAAATTTCTTAAGATAAAGAAGGTGTGTACAGTATGTGTGTAAATAAATATGTACCTTACGCAGGTGTTTCTCACTGAGGCTGTAGTGTATCTGGGCACAAGGTCTGGCTGCAGCTCCAACTTTGAACAGACCAGCTTTGTGGAACTGAAGCAGCTGGAAAGAGACACAGAAAGACACACTGCACTCTCAAATCTTCATAACAACATAAACTACTTTCAGACAGTAGATAAAGTTTTCTTATAAATGACATTTTCATCTGAGATTTCCAACATGCTGGAAGTCAAATATACAGTATATGCCATTGGTTCTAGTAAAAAAAGAAATAAGTGTCAGCTGTGACACAGGTGTTCAGACACTGAAATGGTACAGACTTATGTGATCACTTACCATTGTTACTGTTTGCAACAGCAGTAATTACTGGCCTCATTAAAAATATAATGACCTACTGTGAAAGGCCTAATAAGATGTAATTAAGTTTGAAGTCTTGCAGTATGAACACCGTCACAGAATCAGCTGGAGAGCTACAAAGACATTTCCCACCTCACTGTACTCAGGCTTCCCGTCCTGCCAGAGGGACTCCAACAGCTCCAGTCTGCTGAAGGAAAGGTCAGAGGTCATAGTCCGACTGCGACGCCTCCCGCTCCGCATCTCACAAGCAACCTGCACTGCTGCTCCCGTCAGTCTGGAAGAGGACAACAGAGGAGATGAGAAAGCATGAGGCAGTCACTCACTGCTAGAAGCTTGTAGAAGGCCTTCACAATAGATGTGTGTGTGTGTGTGTGTGTGTGTTCATGTGAATTGCTGGATGTAAAAGTGGGAGTGGGGACAGGATTAAGAAAAAGAAGGGGAGAGAAACACAACATGATGAAAAAGTCCAAAGTAAACATCCAATTGCTGCACAAAAATACATTTCAATGACTCACCAAAGACAAAATATGCATCTCTGCTTTTCTACCTGAGATGGGAGTGTGGGCAGGCTTTGGCGAAGCCTTGTCTCAGATGGTTGAAGTCTCTCTCGCTGAACATGCTGTCCTTAAAGAATGTCAGCTCCTGGAAGAACATCTGAGACACCTGAGCCAGTGACGAGGGTCTGTCAGGTCTAGACGACGGCTCCTCCTGCAGCAGGGTCAAGGTGAGCCCACCAAGCGTCAGCCGCAGTAAAGCATCAGGCTTCAGCTGCTCTGCCTGGCCGCTGTGTGAACGTCCTGTAAGGGAGAATTCAAGAGTTCAGGTTTATTTCATAACAAAAAGATGCAGGCTTTCTTAATCAATCCTAAAATAATGATGAAAAACAACACAATTTTAGCTTGAAACTGCAAACATTATCTGGCTCCGAGTACCAGTTTGAGAACTGTCCGATATTTCATATGTTAACCTGCAGATTCCTTCACAGAACTGACTTAAACCTGTTACTCAACACTGCAGCTGATTTTACCTCTGGTCCGGCTGCTGGCCTGTGGTAGACTTGACAGGCAGCCGGCTACAGGATATCTCCTGGGACAATTCATCATGCCCTGGTAGGGAAAATTAGAGATGGAGACCAGATTATGTGTGATTTGATATGTATATTTACAAGTTACAGTTCTGTAAGAAAGAAAGTTAAACAACAGCACACATAATTCTATAAAACATTATATGATAATACCCAATCTGCCATGTGTAAACACTTGCACAGTGTTTTATATTTTAAAAAAACATAAAAAGGCAAACTAATGTATCTAAAAGCGTTCATGGTAATACCAGTACTACATAATACAAATACTAATGATCTAGGAAATTAAGCTTATTCTGCTAATCAAACACCAACCATTGCTTTACATATGACCATCAGCTAAATGCTTGAACTATAAACATGCACACACTCACAGACTGTGCCTGTGCAGACAGAGCTGTGGGTTGTGAGAGGCTGGCTAGACTGTGTGTAGAAGACTCCATATCACTGTCTGACAGCTCGCTGCCGGAGCGCATAGACGTCACACTACTGCTCATCCCAGGACCCATGGAATAAAACATTTCTGCAGAAACAAAATGCACACATACACCAAATAACATGTTAAGTCCTACATTGTAAACTAACACTTTGGCAGGAAGGAAAGACAGGTGGAGTGTCTTGAAAGTTATTTCCAAATCAGCATTCCAGGTGGGGCAATCAGCCAGTAAAGAATGATTTCCTGTAACTTGTATTAATTCTGGCATGATTAACCTTTGCTGCTCTCTGTACCTCCATTCTCCAGAAGGGTAATGTAAGGCTCCAATTCAGGCTCTGCCTCCCACTCCCCGTCTCTGGGACTGGAGCCCAGCTGCTTACTGAGGTCCTCCTCAATCATACGCAGGTCGTCTGTGTCTAATGGGCGGCTGTGTACTCCACAATTAGTCTCTGGCTCTGGGGAAGAGGTTTATCAGTGTGTGTGTGTGAGAGAGAGAGAGGAAGAGAGAGGCTGAGGCAGAATCTCAGCTCATGTTTATGAGCCATTTACAGATGTCAGTGAACCTAGGTCAGAGCCCTCCAGCCTGATGAGTTTTACATTGCTAATGTATTTCTAAATTATATTAGTCATAAGTTGTGTATTTCTGAAGCTTGCGGGCAGGTCATTACCTTTTAGTTTCGAGATAAACAGAAGATAGAATATGTATGGCTAATGTAAATTTGTGGTTCGACTTTATGAGTGAGAGTATTAATGTGTGTTCTTGGTTCATTTTACTCATCATAAACACAAAGGATGAAGAAATGAGTACCGGTCGCACCTCTCAGAGCAGACACAATTAAGATCCTAAATTCAGACTCAAATTTCCCATTAAACTGTCCTGTCTGGTCGAACAGTGTGAATATGGAACATTTTATCACAAAAGCATGTGTGGCCCTGGTCTTGAGTTGGTGTTATGTGCGTTACATCACAGTGGCTGTGTGGTACTGTACCAGTGTCTATGCTGAGAGCTGCCAGCAGGTCTATCAGATGGGTGATTTGATCTGGAGACAGCAGCATGTGTACGCAGCCCACCTTTCCATCCAATTCCAACTGAACACCCCAGAGAAAAACGCACGATACAGAAGTCAGTATGAGAGGACAACTGTATTGTATACTTAATATACAATACAAGAAAGAGCTACACACACCTTTGGTCCAGGCAGCATGTCGTTCTGTTTGACCTTGACGGTGGTTTCGATGAAACCAGAACAACTCCCTATGAGTAATGGCTGAGATGGAGGACAGGGAGGGGTTACCAGGGGCTTTACCCCCTCCTCTTCCTCTTCCTCCTCTCCTTCACTAGCCATGGCTGAATCATGGCGAACCTCCTCCGGAGGACCCTTAAGAAAGAAAAATCTTTTAGCATTTAAAGATATTAAAGAGTTACATTGGGGTTGTTGTCCTGACTGTTAGAAATACTGTGGCACATTTATGGTGTGTATCACCTGTACTATGCCGGTGCTGTCGTAGAACAGCTGAACAGCACTCATCTGGAGGATCTTGTGCAGGAAGGCAGGCGGCTGGTGGATGTCAACAGGCACAGCAGTCTGGCTGGCTGGATCTCGCACCGCCTCGTCGAAGTACTCCAGCCTGGAGCAACATCATGTAAACAAACATTAAAATTAAAGCGAGTATCTATGAGGAAAAGTGATGCTGTTAAGAACTAAAAAGAACAGGCTGTGGTTTGTCTAGTACAAATGAAGAAGTTGTCACCTGGATTGTGAAAAAAATGGTTTAAGGTAATGTGATTTTGAGAAACATTCAGTACCATTTGTACAGAGCTCTGTCACATTGTTTTGTCTTGTGTTGCTTGACATTCAGTACCATTTGTACAGAGCTCTATCACATTATTTTGTCTTGTGTTGCTGAAAAACTGTCACACTATCAGTGCCTTATCTCTTCAGGAGAGATGATGCCACCGACTACTGGAGAACAAGCTTTTAATCAACACTGATAAACACTGTAACATGTTTCGCAGGACTTTTATGAGCTGTTCTAAAGGTCTGACTGTTCAGATGTCCAGAACCTCCTGTCTGTAATCCTAGAGAACACAGCCATCCTGAGAAGCTTTGCCAGGAAAACAAAAAGGGTTCAACAGTGCCACGGTAAAATGTCAACAGTCAAGTGACATACCAGGGTGATGATTTAGTTTCAGAAGTGAGAAGAGCATAAAGCAAAATATATAAATAAATAAACTGTACTGTATTGTGACCCTAACTAAGACAAATGTAGTTTTATAGATGAAATGTTCTGATGTATAATGTGTTTGTATATTTACTACAAAGAGCACTGGGTTCTTTATTTTTAATGATGTTAAAGTGAAGAGTTTTTTTTAGAACAAACTTCACTTTGAACAAAAAAAAAAGCCCAGATTTTTTTCAAACAAGAAAAACATAGGCCTAAAAAAGGCAAGGCAGTCTGTAGCCTAAGAGCTGAAACCAAGGGCTAAAAAAGCTCAAAGAACTTCTGAGCGCACATTAATAACTAAAGGCACATTTTTATCTATTCATTTCTTCTCTCAGCTGTACTGTAGCCAGAGGGCAGAAAGAGGGAAATGTTTAGTGAGATTTTAGTGAGAAAATCAATCTGAAACTATAAAAGAGAAAAGGACATGTCCCCTGCATTCCCAGTGGAAATTACCCTGACATATACAAAGGAAGCCAACAGCAGCTGGTAACAAATCAAAGGAGCAGTTGAGAAGGTATGCAACTATAGGACGACTATAAATTACCTCAGCTACCTTCACTTTGCAGATGTAGCAATGATAATAATGTCACTATTGAGCACTATTACATCTGATTAGAAATGACCACTGCAGCTGTAAATAGTTAATATGTTATGTCAACAATGCAGCAAACCTACGCAAATCCATTAAGAACGATAATCACTTTTAATACCTCTAATACCTACATTCAGGTAACAATCTGGCTGTCCATAGCAACAGTGGCTGTGGCTATTTTACACCTATCCATCACTGTCACCGCCACTGACTCCCCTCACAGCCCATATTGATGACACTGTCTCTGCACCCAGAAGTTATTTGCAGCAACTGATAAGACCCTGTTCAGGTGAACGACCTTGTTGATACCATCCCTGTTTAAAATGAGCTGCACACTGAGGCCATTTCACAACACAAGGCTAAGAAGAGCAAGTTCATTATGAGCTGGGGCCTGTTCTCCTTGTCTGCTGCTGAGCAGAGAGAAGATGAAGTCTAATTCTTAGATTCTGTTTTGCTTTCCATCTGCCCTGATAGTAGTGTAAGCACTGATGTGGGAGAGTTACAATGTTGCTGATCATAGAGAAAGACACTACACTGGAGTGAGTGATGGAAAGAGAAACACAAGCAAAATACAAAAATCAGCATTGTTAGTTTATGACATGTCAAGGAGATTTGATAAACGATGTACTGATTCCACTACAGAAAACACATGGTTACAGGTGTAATTTAAAGCCTCTTTTAGTTAAAATCACAACCAACTAATATGTTTTGTGTTTTGATCACAGAATAATTACTCTTCATATGAGTAAGACATCATTATCAATTACATGGATATGCCAGGAAACCTCACATACTTCCACCCCTGTGCCTTTTAAAGCTATAGGCGGTATTCAAATGTAATGATAACAGATGCAAATCACATGTTAAGTAGCTTTACATGCACCATGTTCTTTGTAGAACAAATCAGGTGACTCTTCTGAGCTGATCTGCTTCATATTTCTAAAGCAATAAAATGAAAAAGCAACTAAGGTAGAAGTTTCTATAAATATATAGAACTGTTAATCAAACTGTAAAGGTGCCCTTTAAAGTTATATTTCTAAATGTACCAAGTTTCTTCCTTTCACAGTGTTTCGACAACACGAGTAATATGTTAAGTATTTTCCATGAAAATGAATTAACTAGAGTATGTATAAAAAACAGGGAATTTCAAATAAAATGCAAAAAAACAAAAGGATGAGGAACAATAATCTAAAGGTCTTTCATTGGGAAAGAAAATCTAATTTTTCTTGTTTGCAGCCCATTTTCTCTGAGTGAAACTTAGAACATTTACTCCAACCTACCGTTTGATGTGCACCTCTAAGGCAATGCCTGTTTCCAGGTCCAGGGGCTGGTGTTCAATGCGGATGATAGTGTCTACAAAGGTGACTTTAATGCGACGAAGGACTGGACACACATACAAGATGAGATACATGCAAAGATTTATTAGCACTGATCTTTCCAGTCATCTTTTCTTAGCCATGTGTTCAGACTGGGCTTCATTTGGGAATTGTTTTCACTAATACTTTTATTGTGTATTATTACTGGAAATTTTTGTCTACATTTGGCATTGTCACTTTTTACAAAGTGAGGACACACAGCTTTGTCTCACCTGTCTCAATAGTTTGTGCAAACATCTCAAGCCCCTCCAGGGGGGCAGGCGGCTCCTCCGATGCCTCTGGGGGGTCCTTCAGGCACTCCTGAGCCAGTTGCATGCTGGAGGTCATGCTTGATGACCAGCCTTGGGACTCCCACCCCCCACCTGAGTGCAAGCAAAGGCATGTGCTTTAGTCAGTTTTGTCCTTTAAGGCTGCTGTAAAGGTGATCGCTCCTTGAACACAGATGACGACTCATCTTAAGACAGTGGTCTTTTTCCCCTTTTCACTGTTTTCTTTCTGTGCTTAGACAGATACCTAAGCATTTGTCTAAAAAGTCAGTAGCTTACTCTGCAGTGAGCATAAATATTCAATTTTGGACACTAATAATTGTCACTTTGCATAGTAACTGACAGTTGTAGCTTTGCATGAGTATAATTTTATATTATAAAATACAACCCGTTGCACTGTGGTAGTGTCAATTGAAAGTTGGACATGCTTTGCACACTACTTTCTTAATTTCATCATGGGGCCTTTTGAAGGCAGGTACTCTAGGCATACAAAGAAACACTCAGAATTCAAATAAAATAGCAAACAATAGTTGTAAAATATAACTGGGCCATAATTTCAAACATGGACATTTGAAGAACTCAAACTTGTGCTCTATATCAACAACAACTTAAAGAAATCAGACTTTACAGTATTAATCATGACTTCTCATTTGGACAATATGGGCATATATCTACACTGTGGAATAAGTGTCAATCAAAGGTAAGCTTACAAGTAGAGTATTTATCGTTATTTTACAGAAGTGTTCTAACTATTCAAGCTTGCTATAGCCCCCTGTAGCTATTTCACATTAATATTCATATAATGAGGTTATACAGGCTTGGTTGTAAAAATACTGAATAATGAGTAACCTTTAAACTACTAAAATACAACCACTGTTTCATACAAGTATGGACAATATTTGAAAAATATGAAGGCTGCCCCCTGCTGACCTCTCTTTGGCAGGGACAGAGCTATACTATGGCTTGACACTGTCTTGTTCTACCAACCACATCTGGACCACCATCAATCCGCCATTCCTTGCTTTATGTCGGCAGAATGAATGGGGACAGTGTGGGCTAATACAACCTGGAGAAAATCACCCAGGTTGATTCAAAAGGATATTTTTTAAGTGAACCTACTGGTCCGATACTTGGGACGACATGTTATTTGAAGACCAGAAACTTCTAAGGTGCAGTGATCGGTCAGAAGAGCTTGCCAAGGGATGGTCGCTGCTATGCTGCTCACAAAGCCATCCACTATCTCCAGTGGAGCCCCCAGAGACTCCAAAAGCTCATTGACCGCCTGGTGAAAAGAGGAAACACACAGTAAGGAGTAGGGGGAAATATAAAGTAAAAGAAATAACTGGTTTCGTATTTGTCTCATCATTCTGGGTGCAGTACATAGACTGAATGGTGCTGACTTGTAAAGGACAGTGCACAGTTAGCATAGCTGGTCTATCTATATATTCAGAGCGTTTAGACATTGAAGGAAATGTAGATAATGATGTCCGTGATGCTTTTCCCATCAGTAAAATGCCTCGCGGTAATGCGAGCTAAGCTACCAGTATGACGTTGGAGATTGTTGTGGAACTCCAGTGCAGTTGCGAAACAGTCAAGGGTGGTTGAGTCCGACAAAAACATCCGAAGACCGCTACTGATGAGGTCCTCTTTATCAAAACTCACCCACACATCGAGGTTGATTTCCTTGATGACACCGCTGCCGTTGTATAGGTCTAAGCCCAGCTGGTCCAAGCTCAGACGTTCCTGCAAAAAGTGACCGAGGTAGTGCTGTAAGAGGTACCGACAGGCCCGCTTCTTGATTGAGCCGGACCAGGGGAAAAGCCAGCGAGACATAGGGCCAAAGAGAGCGGGGAGAGGGAGCGAAGAAGTGGCAAGGAGAACGAGTACAAGAACAGTCCTCTGGCAACTGCATAACAGACCAACACAAAGTGTGCAAAAATGAGGAATGAGCCACAGCTAGCTACAAGGGGCTAAGGAAGGGGTTTGACACAAAAACTAGAAAATACTTTGTGTCACAACCGACGAGCCTCCCACGTTACTTAACGAGACGTTACTCCAACCGACTGTAGCCGTCTCGGGACATACTTTCAGCCCGTTTGTGTCGAATTGAAACGAAACGGTCTTGTCGGTTCGTATCTCTTGTTTCAGGGGTTGTTTATTGTTATCATACGCCAAGTGACGATATGGTGGAGACGTCTGTGCGTCATGCGTCACCGCGGACGCAAGGCTAAATCCGGAAAAAAGACATAATGGCACCCAGGCGCCATCTTTGTAAGGTCCATTTATCCGCCTGAATACAATTCGAATAGGCATTTGTAGTACATAACATTATCAGTTAAATTTACATATATATTTTGGCCTCAAATTAACATCCCATTAGGAACAATCTACGTGCAAATAATTGGAATATGGAGTAAATTCCATACCATAAGGAATGAGTTATTTTAATGATAAGTAAAGATCTTGATTTTACTCCAAAACAAAGAAGCAACAAGGAAGAACACACAAGTGCATCCACCTTCTGAAAAGAATATGTATGTAAAATACAGATGTGCTATGTTATACCAATTACACAAGCTAAATAAGAGTTATCAACATATTGGAGAGACTGGTAAAAATCATGTCACATTTCTAAGTTTTGTCCAATCCTTGATATTTTGAGAAAGCATAATTACAGGAACTGAAAAAATATTAGAGCCGTTATTAAAGAATACTAAATGACAGATTTTTTACTTTTAATGAATTTGCTAAAATGTCCATAAATATTTTCATTGTCACTACAAGTTAATGTGAGGATGATAGACAAAAATGGCAGTTTTATCCAGTTAAAGTTAAACCTATACTCAAGTGTGTAAAAATTGAAGGGGTCTGAATACTTTCTGAAGTCACATTTATATGTTTACACCCTTTAACTGCAGCGCCCCTGTAACAAATCTATTCATAAGTGACTTCACGCTAAGACTTTTTCTGTTTTAAGATACTAGCGTTTCCAAGGTCAAGAATTTACTTTCACGCTCAATATTTTGTTCTTATTGTGGCTGTAGTGAATTTTATCAGTTATGACAAAATTTTTATTGTCAAGTGTAATATAACAAATCAATATAAACAATGTTAAACATCTTTATTCCTATGAAACCATGTAGTGATTTATATACAAATTTTCAGAAACTAAAGTTACGATAGCCAACCACTGTATTAAGACAGTCTTCAGATCAATGTGACATTTTAAAACATTTAACATAAGTATGCTGAATCTACATTATTTGTAAAGAATAAAACAAAACTGATAAATAAAATTATAGGAGATTTAATTTCACACAAGTATTGTTCATCTCTTCATTTTATGAATGCAACATCAGGAATCTGGCCTTCCCTCTGGAAAGTAAAAGGAAAAAGCATTTTAGTGCCTTGCTATAAAATCTGCACACCATTATGGAAATGAGAAGAATCAATATAAATCATGTTACCTTTAACTGAGTGAAGATATGTGCCGCTCTGTTGAAATCCCACTCATTGTCTTGCAGACACCTACAACAGAAAATAAGTGTTTAGATATTTAAAATGAAGTGAATAAATGATGGCATACAACACTGCCAGCACTGCTATTACAACAGCAGACTTACTTTTGGGACCATTCCAGGTTCATGCCAGACTTCAGTGAGAAGGCTGTGAGCATCTCCTGCTGCGGTGCAGTGAGGGTGGGGACAGGGCTGGAAGATGGAGTCGGGGCAGGAGCCACAAAGGCTCGCCTAATCTCCTCTGTTGTGGCCATTCGGATGAAAAGCTGGTCGTTGACGATGCACAACCTGTGGCACAGGAAGAACACAGTAGAGAGACAATGTTTCATGAATTTCAGGAGGATATAAACTTCCTCTTAAGATCACCTGCCACATACACCAAGACGAAGTTCACATGCCAGGTTATTAGACTCACCTAGGCATAACCAATATGGCCTTGTACTACTGCCGTGCCATAAATCCTACTTTCATGAAAGCTACATAACTCAATTTTCATTAAAACAGTTTGAGTAGTTAGTTAATATTACAATTCATCAGCATCTAATTGCACCGAATAAACTTGCAACATGTATTTTTTGTTAGTACGTTAGATAATAAAAATTATCAGTTATTTTTGTTTAGACCTCTTATGCAGGCTTGTTTTTGAATTGTTTATACGAGATGACCAGAACATTAATTTAAGACGTATTGTGGAAAAACTAGTGAGTGAGCCCACTGAATTACAGCTATAGATCTCTATAAAACATAAAATCTGGGGTGCCAGGAGGCCTAATGTTTAAGTCACCATTGCATGTCATAGCCCCTATAAAATCAACAATTATAGAAAAAAATAGATCTTTCCATTCATTGGCTGTTATTTCACAGGACATCTGTCCTCAGGTTCTTTTAATTTTCTAGATGATCCACAACTGCGATCACTGTGTTTGCACAATGGAACCGGTCTTTTCCACAGGGGAAAGCAAGGACAACAGGAAGACTGAAACCACTGGGATCTCACTAAACCTACCCAGAAGTCCCTGCTGGGACTGTGATGAAAACGCGAGAGAAGGCCATGGTTGAGTCTCGGGATTTACCGTCAACAGCAACTGAAAAACAGACAACGCAAATTAGTAACAAAATTGACACCACTTGTACTGTATGTGCAGCGAAGGAGAGCAAAACATAAAATCACAAAGACCAAACAATTCACCTTCTTTAAAGACACCGCTCACTGTGAATGACAGTAGTGTGCTCTGTAAACAGAAAACATAGTTGCAGAATTAACACAGAAATGCTTAACAGTGAGAGGAAGACACTAATGCCAAGTGCAGGCTGTCAGAACTCACAGTGTAGGTGTTTACATCGACAGTAAAGGAGGCGATGTCATGCTGCGTTTTGGGCAACTCGTTGAGAAAAGCCACCACGTTCAGTCGTGTGTGCTTCAGCAGCCGAAACCGCATTGCTAAAGGTGGCAAGATTAAAAAAAAAAAAAGGAAACATCAAAAAGCATCTAAAAAAATCATAAAAATATTCAGTCTCAATAAATCAGACGCTGTGTTAGGTCAAGAGCAGAACAGATAAACTCACTGGAGTCTTTGATCCTCTTCAGGTTTCGACTGTCTTTGTGATACTCTCCCAGACTGCTCCTTAACACCAGAGAAGGACAGATAAGAGTCGATGTGAATACAGCTGGGACTCAGACAGGTACGTGTGAAGAGTGGGATAAGAACAACTGATGAAGTTGTGACAAACATTTTTAAATGACTTACTTATTTAAACAGTGGAAATAATGAATAACTCTACATCCCATTTGTTCATGTGTATGCAAAAACATGTCTGTGTTTGTGTTCTTACCTAGATGGGTTCTGTGTGGAGTATGGTGTTGTGAGGGATAACGATGCTCCATCATGGTAAGCATCCAGGAGTGGCTGTCTGTCCCCAGAGTCATATATACTGTAGTACCTACAACACAGTTGCATATAACATGAGTTAATTTTCTTGACTTTGGTCCTGTGTGTTCTTGTGATTCTTGACCAAAAACCCTTTCCTGGAACTGAAGTCGTGTAAAAAGCAGTACTGATTAACATGTCACGAGCTGGCTCACATTACTACTGCATTCACCCTAGACAATAGGCACCAATTAACTGAATGTTAATAAAAAGGTATAAACTCACTGTTGCAAGAAGTGAAGGATGAGAACCTTGAATTCATCTGATCCAAAACTGCTGCCCTGGATTGTCAAATGGACAAACATTTGTCAGGCCCATAAAGGGGACAATAACTGTCAAGATACTTTAACCTGGAGGAGAACAATGCAGCCTAAAAATTACAATTCTGATTTTAATCCTAATTAAATAAGCACCTTGGAGAGGTTACACTGAGAAGTCACAACAGAAGACATCATCAATGTCAGTTTGAGTAGAACAACATTATTAATAAGTAACCTTGCACGGGGGGATAGTGGTGGGCGTTTCCACATCAAATCCAATGGGTGGGGGCAGGTCTTGTCCATCCTAAAAGAAAGCACACACAGAGAAAACATGAGATGGTGGACTGCAGTATTCAATTTTTTTTATAAATATCACAGTATCAAGATACTGCTAATATATTTTTAAAATGTTTTTTAATAAACATAATTTGCAAAGTTGCCTACATTATCATGGAGACTAACAGTGCAGGGTCATTAATATTATAAACTGTACAACAATGGACATGGAGATGAAAAAGGCAGTTAACATTAGGTCCATTTTTATGAGAAAAAAAATGAAGTGATATAAACATGAACTTACCAGTTTGAGAAGCCGAGGAAACCTCTGACGCACAGCACTGGTACAGGAACAAAAATGAAGAGCAGCAAAGTTATTATCACAGACCCCCCCCTAATACACACAGGTAAAATCATATTCAACACTGTAAATACGACTATCAGTCACACCTGTCAACCCACTTAATTATTTTGTATCTTTCAGTTGATGAAATTTTAGGTTGCTATTTTGTCAAGAACATTTGGGAGAATATAGTCATGTACTGGTACACAGAAATAGACTAACTACAACCAGTGGCTCAAAAAATGTATTCTTTGTATACAAGCAAATACGAGTACACGCTCTTATCCTCCTTCCTTTTCATGCTGTGCCCTTTGACACTTCTCCCACTCCCAAATGTACTTACCAGCAGGTATACTCACCCTCTCCCACAATATGGAGACATACACAGACCTGACATGGAGAACCATTACAAGCACATTTTTCTAGGAGCACACACATACAACGCAGTGACCCATGATTTACCAGACTGTGCTGGAAACCAGCAAACACATCTGTTATGAATTAGTAAAGAGGTGATGCATTGCTGGGGGAGAAGTGGTTACCGCCAGTCTCGTGTTAACTTCCCCCCAAAACTCTGGTCAAGATGTTGGGGAAGAGATGAGTCTACAGCACCAAAAAACAAAACAGGGTCTAGGTAAAAAAAAAAATAAAGTAAAATTTACACAGACACGAACACAAGAGGTGTAACATTCAGAAGGGGTGCCAGTCACTATTCACTGTGGTGTTTGCATCCATGATTATCAGCAAAGAAAGACAATCTGAGAACAGAGCTGAACAGAAAGGACAGCTGGCCTCAGAATGAGCTGGATCCAGCAATCCCACCCCTCGCCCTATAGTCTCCCACTGCTGCACATGCAAAGCAGCTACCAGTTCACAGCTTAACAGTTACGATTGACACTGAGATTGGTTGTCATGCACTAACAGCAACTGTACTTCATGCTGCTTTCAATTTTCCAGCTTGATTTGGGCCCGAGTCTCTGGTTACAGAGGGACAGATATCTTTAATCATTCAACTACATCAATAATCATCTATACTAACTTCTCAGTTAAATATTTGAGCCTTTGTTGTACTGGTCACAGCCATGAAAAACTGGAAGAGGAAGTGTTGTTTTTGTATTTATTTCAGGAAAAACTGAACTTCAGTTCCAGTTCAGTTCATATTTCCCTCAGACGTTAGTTAGGATGTTTGTCAAACTCTCCACTTCATTCACTAAACAGCAGGTGCCCGTTTTAGGCCAAAGAGAGCCAACTTAGTGGAAGAGAGACTTTCTTTTTGGTTTACCACTGGTCATTAATAATGACATAACCCCCTCCACCTCCGCCCAATGGCTTTCCCTGTGGAGTCCCATCTTCTCAATCTCTTCTTGTCATGCTGTCAGTGAGTCAGAGCTCATGGGGACTGAGGCCGAGTAATCGTGACTGTGCCTGCCTTAGGTTGTCCCGAGGTTTTGAGGTGGGATCTTACCCGTCATGGGCTATCCAGCCTTCCATACTCGCCTGATACAGGGGGCCGAGTGGGCAAGGATGCTACAAGGGGAGGGGAAATCATTGGCTGTGGATTTTCTTTGTTCATCCAAACATCTGTGAAGCCAAGCATAGGTTTCCCTCTGTCCAATAAACAATCTACACTGTTATACAGTACTGCTCAAACGGTGGATTGGATTTGCGTTTTTAAAAGCAGTTTAGAGTAAACTATCAAAAAGGATTGTTCTGCTGAATCTTTTTTAACAGCTTGTTGTCAGAGTTATAAAGCATAAGCAGTGTGATGGTGCTGTACAGCAGTTTACGGGATAACTAGTCAGGATGTCAGCAGGGGGAGTGCTGGGTGCAGCATCACTGAGAACAAACAAACAGACCCAAGCTCGAAAGGATGTCCCACAGAATAACTGGCAGAAAGAAGATGGCTGTGGAAGAGTCAAAGCAGGGTGAAAGGAAAACAATGTGGCATTGCATCATGGTTAGATGGTCCTCTCAGCAACTTTCAAAATTTAAAAAATGTTAAGTTTGCGGTGTGAAAAGGAAATCTTGAGGGGAAAAAAAACAAGCTAAAAGGAATAATCTGAGCTGAATTTATAGGGTTCCCTCTCACATGTGTATACAGAAATATAGGGAGTTAACAGTGAATGTCAGGTGGCTCTGCTTGGTCCTAAAGAGGATCCTTCACTGCTGGGGAAACGGTTCCTGTTACTGCAAAGGTATCTTACACACAAACACAATGGCTTCATGTTCTTTTACAGCACACTGCTGAGCACTCCTCTCTTACAGGAAAAACTCCTGCACACTCCTAGTCACACAACTGTGTCCCCTCCGTAAGAAACATCTCCCCTCAACCCATAAAATCACTGACTGACCTGATGTATGAGGCATGATCCTTGAAGTGGTTACACAGAGGGTTCTTGTTCAGCCACAGCTCCACCAGCTTCAGACCTTTCACCTTATCCAGCTCCCGGTCAGATTTCAGCTGGCCGACCATGCAGAAACAGAACAAACGGATGTGACTGGAGGATTAAAAAATAAAATATAGTGCTATGGATGTATTTCATGTCCGGTTAATATTGTGTAGGTCAACTGAGCAGCCAGTTTCACCTCATTGTGGGAAAGGTTGAGTGTCTTCAGATTGGGCACCTTGGTAACCAATTCAGCCAGTTCATCCAGTTTTTGAATGCGGTTGTTACTCAGGTTCAAGCTCGTCAGCTGACAACAGTCAGAGGAGACATATAAGCACAATGACTCTGCCCATCGCTCAATAACAAAGCTGCTAGGGTGTGTGCCTACGTTACGACAATAGCTAATAGTCTGTTACTTGTTTTCCAGCAAACAAAAAAACACATATACTGTATTAATGTTACCTCTGGAATGTTTTCTTCAATGATCTTGATGACAGCTTCCATGTTTGTCTTCCAATTCAGGACAATTTCAATGTTGTGGGACACCAGATCTGGCACAAGAAAGCAAAATTAATACACTACTAAACAAATATTCCAAATTAGAGAAGGATTTAATACCAGTTTATGTCTGCACCATGTATTGAATCCTCAATGTAAACCAACACCACAGGGGCCATTTACTTAGAACAGAATTAAAAATCTCTAATAATTCAGGGGTTTAGTTTTAATAATTACATGAAAGTGATTGAATATGTGTTCAACATTATGTCATACATATGATTAAATGTGAAAGTGATGAAGAGTACAACTTACCTGGGTCTGTTCGAATGTTGTTCAAGTCCAGTGCTTGCTGAGAGCCATCAAAACGTTTTGCCATGCATTGCTGTGAGAGAGAGAGTTGTCTTAAAAATTCGTTCCCAAACCACCCTTTCTACTTTTGTCATATCAAACACAAAGCTGATCACATCCTGGTTGCTTAAGAGCCTATAAATGAACTTGGCAGACCTCACCCACACCTCATCACTTTTCAACCAGCACATTTTTCATATAATACTGATCTAATTTTGATCCATACTCACTCTCATTAAAGAGGCTAATTGAAATCTGAGCCACGGTATTTGTGAGAATTTATCCATTGCAGCAAACTGCGATTACTGCCACAGAATTTACTAGCTCACCTTCAGGTGCTCCAAATGCTCAGGCTTCAGGTCAGACGGAAGGAATGATGGTGGAGCACTGTCATTGACATGCACTTCCACCTTCAGAAAACAAACATCAAGTGTCAAAAGGTACATTATTAAATTGTATCAATTGTACATATCCATCTGTAAATTAGTTCTGACTGTAGATACTGCGCACTCTGCACTGATGTTATTGCACTTCGGGTTAGATGCTGAACTGCAATTCGCTGCCTTGTACTTGTCCATGGGTAATAACAATAAAGTTGAATCTAATCTAATTAGTAAACAGTGACATACCCTAAATAAATCAAGGCTTAGATGAAGTGAGATTTATGTTTATTCATTACTTAAAAGTCAGTGGTGCACAACTACTGGTTGAGAATTTTGTGACACCATAGACAAGGTAAGAAGATAGTGACAGTGTAGTCATCTACAAGTGGCTGAGGGCAGTGTGGCACGTTACCATGACTGGATGATACATAGAATATTCTTTTAGAATATAAAAATTTAAAACATGTTCTGCAGCAATAACAGTGAGATTACATACCTTGTAACCATCTGGATCTGAGATCTTGTGAGAACATTTGTGCAAGGCACTGGCAGCAGAGGAATCATCCACGTAGAAATGGACCTTGTTATGGTCAACATGGTACTGGAGAGACAAGGAGGGCAGGGAATCATAATTTAAAAGCATACATATACAAATATGGTGCCCACCAACACTTTTAATTTAAAATCTCCAGCTTAGTGTCTATATGGGGACTCAAGATACTTTTATTTACCTGCAATCAAGAACTTGAAAAATAATAAAATAAAGGACCCACAAATGACTTTGTTTTAACCAGTACTCTGCATGCAGTTAAAAGGCACAATTTATGAAAATATAATTACAAGCATAAGATGAAAAGAACACTTACAAATTGTTTTTTAGCTAGTTTTTGTTGCAACTGACTTCAAAAACACACAAAAGCCTATTACTTTATCTGCTACTACTATTCTACTTTTTGATGTTTCCGTTAGTTGTTGTCGTCACAGCAAATCTGATTCACATGAGTAAATTTGGCACGTTTTTACGCCGGATGCCCTTCCTGACACAACCCTCTCTACTTAACCAGGCTTGGGACCGGCACAGAAGTCACTGGCGTGAAACACCTGTGGCTAGATAAAAACGTATTACTTTGTAATAACTAATAATAAGAATGTGCTGAACCTCACCTGTACAGGTGT